ACAACACGGGGAGGGCCGTTCCATTAACGGTGGCGCAGCAAGTGGCTGCATGTGTGCACCTCCTCGGTCGGAATTCCGTTCAGGCAGACTCAGCAAGGCTCGCAGGATGCAATCAAAGCACTATCTCGAGAGCTTTGAAAATTTTCCTCGATGCAGTTGTGAAGAGAGCACCCGCATACATATACTGGCCAACTACAGAAGAACAAACTGCAATGAGCTCGAGGATTTTCAGAAAGTATCAACTACCGAACATCACAGGAATAATAGATGGAACACACATCAAAATCACGGCTCCTAAACAAAGTCCTATGGATTACGTTAATCGGAAACAATATCATTCACTCAACGTAGGCGCAATTTGCGATGATCGAATGCTGTTCCGATGGATCAATGCCAGCTGGCCAGGGTCAGCTCATGACAGTAGAGTTTTTACTTCGTCGAAGCTATACAAGGACTTGAAGGCTAGGAGCAAAAAAGGATGTCTCGTCGGCGATTCCGCCTACAAGGCGGAGCCATTTCTAATAAAGGCACGCAAGAGCTAAGATAGAGCAGGCATTCGAGATTTTGAAAAGACAATGGCTGATATTGCATGGCGAGTGCAGGTAAGATACTTTACTATTGTTGCATAACTTACTTTTGAAAGACAGTGTGTTTCAGATACGATCCAGAAACAGCCACGAAAATCGTTATAGCCTGCACGGTACTTCGGAACATCGCCAATAGCCGCAACGAACCTACAGTTTTCGAAGAAAGCCCTCCTGAGACAGACGAACAGGATATGCATGAAATCAACGAAGAAGACCCCTCAGCATCGGGCCGCGCACTTATTAAGCGCGTAATTCAAGAATCTTTCTGAAATTTCTCGGTTGGTTTCTTGATTTGATTCCAATTTTTTGCGATTTTCTTACGTTCTTACTTTCTCACTCGCTTAGGTATTTTCTTTACAACTGCAATGCGACCGTCGTTCCTTTCTGGGAAAAAATGCTTTAATATGTAACTTTTCCATGTTCTGTACTTGTAATTTTCACCCATTCCCTCTATCA